TGTCAGCCGCAACCCGGGCAGGCTCGGGCCTTGCCCTCCGCCAGCCGGACTCCTCTCGGCCCGAGAGACTTGTTCCCGCTCGCCCGGCGCCGCAAAGCTTAGTGCGAGGAGTTAAGTACGTGCCAGAGAGTAAGTCCAAACCGGCCATTGTGTTGACAGTCCTGGGAGTTCATGGTAATGTGAGTTGTTCTAAATGAACCTTGTTGCTTCCTCTGAACATCCGCAGTGTGCTGTGCTGTCTTGCACTCTTCCTTTTCCTGACATGCATGCAGGTGTAGACATCTGTCAGTAGATGTTGCTTCTGAATAGAACTAAAGAACTCAGAACAACTTGTAAGACTCTTGCCTTGATTAGCAGGTAGGTGGAACAGTATCAGACCTCCTTTCCCTGACCACCTGTACCACAAGCTAATGGTTAGGTGTCTTTATGTAACTCTGGAAAGCCAAGAGCAAAAGGGACTCAGGATGCAAAGCATCTAGAGACCAGTGTGATTCCTCTCCACAGGGGAGGAGCAAGGAGGAAGACTTGCCAGACAAGATCCAAAAGCAGTGTGACCTTTACTTTTCTAATAAGGTGATTCTGAAACTTGGAGTAGAGGACTCCTAGCCTGAGCTCTTGAGCTGCTCGAGACAGGTATGTAATAGACTTTTGGGGTACTTGCGGTTTGAAGATTTGAGCCGAGTATAAAAAAATGCTTAAATCCCAGAAATGAATGCGTGCTATCTAGCTGCTGTTAGAGCCATTAAAATACTCCAGGCCACACATTTGGAGAACTACTTTGAATGTGCAAATAGAAAAAAGATTTTTTTTTTATCAGCAAACAATGTTGCCATCCTAGCAATTTTTCTAATATGTCAGGAATTAAGCTATGCCACAGGGTATACACAGCATGTTACTTCTGGTGACTGAATGTCAGTAGTGACCCTACTATCTTATGAGGACAGACCTCTCATTAGAGTTCCACATGGATGTGACACTGACAAATATAAATATAGAGTGTGACAGATGCTTTGCCATCCATGCAATTGCCTCTGAAGAAAACATGGTCTTAACATTAGAAACATGCTTCTAGTTCTGCACAAACTGGCTGAGTTGCCTGATGGGCAATTACAGTGTAAATCTATGGCACTTGCCATGTTACTGAGAAGGTCTGCCTACCCCCGAAATTGTGTTGCCAAGTCTGGGAAACTTACTTCCTAGGCTGCTGCTCTCCCTTCTCTTTGTCTTAGTGTCTTCTGTAAAACACTAACATCTGTGTGGCTTAGCTTGGTGTAAAGCTTTAAAAGTGATTCTTGATTATGTGTAAGGTACTATTGTACCTCATGCAGAAACTAACCTGCTGGTACAGTCAATGCTGTTTGGTATCTGTTTTTTAGTGTTTCTAACAGTTGCTTGGATGTTAAGTTGTTGGAAGACTGTCCATATCTAATTAGCCACAGAACGGCCTTTTTAGCTGCCTTCCCTGCTCTTTTATTCTTCATTGTAAGTATAATAAGGATTGGGAGAAGAATATTTGCATTGAAGGCTCCTACTGAACAGTTCCCTGCTTCTAAAATAGCCTCTGGCCAAGCCCCAGTTAGTGCAAGGTAATTTGGCTTTATCAGAAAAAGGTGGCATTAACTGGAGTTAATTAAGAATAACAGCGATCCCACCCTTTTTTTTGGAAGTGGTGAAGCCTGAGTGCTCCTGTACTGTACTGTAAACTCTACAGCTGGGTAGCGTAGGTGCTGTACGCACTTCTGTGCCAATGGTAGAGTTACAGCTCTGACTTCCCCAGAGGGTTTTCCCCTTGTCTTCCATTGGCAATAAGGATGCTCTTGTGATGAATATGCAGCATTCCTCAAAAGTAACCTTACCAGCATATACAGGAAAAAGTGTTTTGCACAATTAGTAGCATGTGGCACAAGCTGCTGTTACTTTATCTCTTAAAGGTCTTCACATGGAGGCTTTTTTAACTAAGCAGTCATTACTAAATCTTTTTTTAAAATTTCTTAAGCTGAAGGTCACTCCAGTAGTTTTATTCGTCCTGCCCCATTCAACTTACTTTAGATGAAATTCTGTAATAGGAAGTATACCTCCCACCTTTCTCCCCAAACCTGAGAAACCAAAGCCCAAAGAATTAATACTTGCACCTTAAACATAACTCTTTGAGGTCTTTGGGACTGGGTGAAGATTTGCTTTTGAAGCCACTTCCTATAGTTTTGGCTTCTATGGTAGCAGTATTTCTTTTCAGAAACATGCCTGCAGGCATTAATGATGGCAAACTTAGCAACAGAATGCCTATAATCATGAAAAACTTGGTTTAGAAACCAATGCCAGCCTTGCATTGGATTTGTCCCCTAGCAGCCTTTTGCAATTTAAACTGCCTTTCTGTTTGTCCTTTACTTACAGCTTCTGAATTGGATAATAAAACTTCACAAATGAAGTTCTGAGTAGAAGCTGGAATTGGGCAAAAAAGAAAAGAAGCAGTTATTTACGGAAAAATGATTTATATCTGATGTTTTTGCTGCTTGATTGCTGTAAGAACTGAGATAGGCTATTTGCAGTTCTCACCAGTGAATCTGACTAATCTTGCTGATGAGTAAATATGCTTAGATGCTTGCTTTGATAGCAAGTGTGGTGGGAAGGGTTATAGCACTAGAAGTGCCACCAAGTATGTATGGGTGGTGTTAGCAATACCTTTGAAGATCAGGAATTTACAGCTTTTAATATCTTGGAGTAAAAATGGTAAATGAAGTCAGTGCTGATCTTGGTATACTCGTGGGCTTTTTTAGCTGTGTGCTTTAAGGGCAAAGTGAGTCTGAAAGCTAGTTGTAATCTGCTTTAGATCAGTTTAAGGGGATCTACAGAGTGCTGTATCTCTCCCTTCAAGAAATGGACTCTGAAGAGTGCTTAATCTTGATTTCAATCAGCTTCTGGTAAATGAGTAGTGAGGCTGGAGTTCTGCATCTAGAAAACAACACAAACCAAAGGCCTCTCTGGGAGTTCTTACTAGTATAGTTACAACATGCAAATGTGATGTGCTAAAGATAGAATTAAGGCTGCAGGAGAGCTTTAGCTCTAGGTACACAGTGACCTAAAGCCAGAAAAAAAGCAGCATGAGCTAGCAACAACACTGTAGCTTTTGGTGCCAGAACACTGCAGGCATTTGAAACAAAACTACCCAAAGCTAGTAAAATAACAGTACTACCATCCCAGTTCCTATCTTGTACCACTAACTAGCTGTTTGTGCCACCTGTACAGATGCTTAATACCTGACTTTATATAGGGTACTGGCTCCAGACTCCTTGAGCGGGAAGAAGAGAATATGCCTGCAGAGGGAATGACTTCACCTTTATTTCACAGAGGAGTTTAAGTGCTTTGAGAAAGTGACCTTGAATTTTATCTAGTTCTTCTTTCCTAGAAGGTGATTGTCCATGGAATAATCTTTCCAAAGATACATAGGCTTGTTTTCTCCTACAGTACTTGGCTTTAACTATGGTATGGTGACAAGATGTGAGGAGCTTTCCAAATAGAAGCTAGAAAGGGCTTCTTCATACAACCTGATTTTCTTGACAGTGTTAATGTGAGATCACACTAACTTCTGTGCCCGGAGAAAGGGAATTTACTGGGCAGTACATCCAGAGGAAGTTGTGCTTTTTTTCTGTCCCAGAGTTCAAACTGATGCAGGTCCTTTGAATTTTTAATCAAATCAAAAAGCATTCAGAATTTTAAAGGTAAAAAACTATGGATTTGGCCAAGAAAGATCTGCAAGAAGAATCTCTAAGTTGCTGTGTTGCACTTCTATTTGGACTGGAGATTGTTTAATAAGGGTAAATCAGTCTCATGCATCTTGGAGGTCCTAGTTCTCCATCTGTAACTTTCTACCTTGCCATATCAAAGCAAAATCACTTTGACACAGGAGAGCCTAACCCAGCTAGAAGTAACTTTCTGAACAGTGAGCATTCATGTGTAACATCCTGCCTCCAGGACAGGTCTGCAACTTTCTGCTCTGTTTATATCTACTACTGTTAATATCTCAGTGTCAGTGCTCTTCTAGTGAGTCGGTGATAATAAATACAAATGACTACTTAGACTGGAAGAATGAGTCTGACAATATTCTTTGTTTTGTGTAAACTTAGAAGCAAAAGCCTTCTACAAGAAAAGATGATACCCCAGTTGTTAAATCTGTCCTTAGTGAAGGATTAATGTAAATTTATTTTAGAAAGAGCTGTCATGAATAAGCTGAGTTGACTTGCTGGACCAGAAGATAAAGAAACAAAGCTATCGTACCCAAAGTATTCAGCATATTCTTCCTGGCCAGCTCTGCACCTTGAAACTCTACTTATGCTTCTGACTGGCATCTGCTGTAGAACTTCATGTATTCTAAAAGCTGTGTGGGAGCTGCCAGTGACTGGTTACCCACTCATGAGTGCATGTGAGCCTGTAAGGTTCTTCCCAGTGCCTGCTGAGAAATAAGACTGATGGAGACTTAGATCTGATCTTTGTATATTTTAACATGAGGATTTTTCCAAAAGGTGGAAGTGCTGGCTAAATTGCCTCACAACTTCATACAAGCAGTAGCAGTGTTATTAAGCAGTAATTGTGGTGGTAAACAGAAGTGTCCAAGAACAATAAATAACAATTAAAGTACTATGCAGCTCTTCACATAAGGACAGCAATAAATGCCTACCTCTCATAACTCCTTTGAACTGTTCTGTGCAGGCTTTGTTCAGAAAAAGCACTGTCCCAAACAGTGATCTTCCTGGTCCCATTGTACTCCTCATGATCCCAAAAGAAATGGGAATGGCAAGAGCCCAGTTTGTAACCTGGTAAGAGAAAGCCTTGTCTTAAGACAGGCCTGCAGCCTTAAACAGCCCAGTTTCTCCCTCAGATAGGAACTTACAGACCTGCCTGTGTTTTCCAGGTCAAACAGACCATTGCAGTCTGTGGCTGTTAAAAAGGGGTGGAAATATATTGTTACAGTTCAGATAGATGTAGGTCTTATGTTACCTGGATGTAACATCTAGCTCTTGCTTTCAAACTTGTTTCTCAAGGCTGCTTGCAAAGGTCTGTGCCTTGCTAGCTATTATGCTGAGGTCTAAAAATAGCTTGCTAGAAGACCCTTGTGATACAGAGGATGGTGATGTGCAAAGCTTCATACCTTACATAGCTGATGCTGTCTACTCAAAGTCTGGCAGAGTGGTAGCATTTGCAATGCTAGCTTCCAGTATTAAAAGCTATTTTTTTATGTGACAGTAACAATTTAGTTCTAATGTAAGGTTATGTGCTGCACTGAACTGCTGTAGAGAAACAGTGCTAGTGGGTTGTTATTGCTGCTAGCAGTTGTGCAAGCTGCAGAAGAGGGCTTCATGTGGACACACAGGCACTGCATGAGAAGCAAGGTCTTTTATCATCTTTTATGCTGATGCTGTACTGTTGTGGCTGGATCAAACAGTGCTGCAGTTCATTTTCCTCAGGGCATGTCTGAACTACATGAAAGTCTCTCTTAATCACCCTCAGCCAATCACCCTGTGTTGAATAAGCATTGCAGAACCACAATGATCATGACAAAAATCATACACCTCTCTGGCTGCAGTGGGCACATAGCTCTGCTGAGGGCACATGGTGTGTTTAGCTTTGTTTCCTTTTTCTTACTTGTGCAAAATCAGGTCTGCAGGACTCTGGCTGTATCAGGTACACTGCAAGCTATTGGTTGCTGTAGTTTACAGGGCTAGAAATGTAGCCAGAGTGTGTGCAAGTTAGTTATATGACACTGCACCCTACTGATGCTCATGCTGAACTTCTCTTTAGTGGATGTGTCCTTGCTGAAATGGCTATGTAGCAGTGTGCATGGGTCTGCCATTCCATGAGACATTAGGGAATAAACTTCGTCTCTGGCTTGAGTTCTGTCAGTAAAGATACTGCACTGTAACTGCCTTGACTCTTTCATGTTGAAATGCTGCTGAGAATTCAAGTGCAGTGGATAACACAATAATCTGGCTCAAGGTTGGTTGACTGACTTCCCCTGAGGGCTTTGTATGAAGAAGCTGCTGTTGCAGCTGAGAGGGAGTGCAGCAATGATGGTGGGGAAGAGCCTTTCCTGGAAAGCCATGATGCCCTCAATAGACTGGCACCTACAGCAGCCAGAAGATACTCCCCTTATTTCAGTGGCTACATGTCAGGTGAAATGCAGATGACTTTGTTCTGCACTTGCAGCTGACCTTAGATCCACTAGGGACTGTATCTGTTTTACCTGAAATCATAGCATTGAGCCCTAACCTGCTTCCTGCAGCAGTACAGAGGTAAGATATGTTCCTGGGTAGGACCGGTGCTGATCTCTACTATGAAGTCTTCCATGAGTTTCTGTCCTCTTAAAGAGCTAGGGTAGTAGGAAAGAAAAGGTAATGACTGACTTGGTCTTGTGTCCGAGTTGAAGTGGAGGAATGTAAAGCTACCAACTTTGTAAACAACACCCTTTGAAACTTAAGGCAAGGCTCACATGACCCCTTTTAAAAGTGTTGTGAATTTGGAAGTGGAAGTAGCAAGGCATTCCCTAGACACTTTTGTCCTGCCAAAATGCTGCAGCAGACTAAGAAGTCTTGGAGCTCCTCCTCTCTCCCATTTTCCTGCCTGCTGAATCTGCTCCCATGTCAGCTGCAGTCAGCTGCAGTAACATGCTACCTTGCTCTTGTGGTTTGAAAGCCACTAAGAGGAGCAGAAGCTTAAAATGTGTTATGTTAGTCTTCAATAAATCTAGCTCTACTTGCTTATGATAAATGCACATAAAACACCACCTGTTGTTTTCATCTGCTCAGTGACCAACCAATTGCCATGTAGTCAACCCTTCTAAACAGACCAGTGTTACAGACAGGCATGCAGTAATGCATTAGCATTGCAATTACCTTTGCAATTAGCTTACCAATCCTGGAACTGTTAGAAGGATGCTTGCAAATTATATTTTAAAGAGGGCCAGACTTCTGACTTTGAAATGTACTGTTTCTGTAGGATTCCTTTAGGAAAACTAAAGGTAGCTGAAATGCTACCTTGTCATGTATTTGAGGGCTCACCCATGATTTAGTGTTTGTATTAAATTGTCTTAATTCTCTCTATACTAAACTCTGTAACTTCCATACAGTCTATTACGTGTCTGTGGCTCATCTCATCTGTCTCCTAGTAAAAATTAGCTTAAAATGAGTAAGAACCGTAGGAGTGCGAGAAGTTCAAAGCACTGAATCAGAGGGTCATGTGCCATTGTGAAGGATATCCAGCAACATTATATTCATGGTTGGTATGGTAAAACTACACAACTTCATTAAGTGTCTCTTTTTTCACTGCAGGAGTTTGAAGGTGCAGCAAGCCTAACAGTGAGGACATTAGAATTTCCTTGAACAAGTTGGACAATCTGAAATACTGACCATGTCTATTACGGATCATAGCCCCACCACTGGAGTGGTGACTGTTATTGTTATTTTGATTGCTATTGCAGCTCTTGGTGCCTTGATACTGGGCTGCTGGTGTTACCTGCGTCTGCAGAGGATCAGCCAGTCTGAAGATGAGGAAAGCATTGTGGGCGAAGGAGAAACCAAAGAGCCCTTTCTTCTGGTGCAGTACTCTGCTAAAGGACCTTGTGTAGAGAGGAAAGCTAAGCTAACTCCAAATGGCACAGAAGTCCATAGCTAACTTGCAGCAACACATGTATATGGACTATGCTTATGATGTGTGTAACCAGCAGAAGAATCTCTATACTGTGAAGAACCTGGTCACATGCACGCCTCTCATCAGAAAACACCCCGATGAGGATTAAATAAGCTTTGTTTGCAACTGCATGCACTGAGAAGTTGCACTTTGCATCAGCTGTGTATCCTAATTCCTCTATAACAGGAGCTGACTCACCTGGCGTAACATCCATTGCTGGCAATGGACACAGGGACATATTGGTGTGAAGAGACCACTAGCGTTTTTTGTTACTTGAATGTTTAGCTGAACTTATTTTGATGGAGCTACTACTGTAATGTGAATTACTTTACAACTGTGAACTGTAAATAGGCTGCCAGAAGCTTTTTGCTTTGTGTTCCACAGCATATGGGAATAATATGATGCAGCAAGGGGACTCCTGAACCACCACTGTAGATGGGATTTCAGACCTTCAAAACACAATCTGCAGTTAAATCTTGCTTCCGCTACTATTGTGAGCGCACAGCCATAGTGTCAGAACTCTTACTCTTATGCTTTATTGGACTGATGCAGAATAATTTCTTTGAAAAGAAGGTGTAAGCCTTCAGTAAAATGTTGAGAGAGTAAACACAGGAACTACAAGAAAGGAAGTGATTTCCTTTAATTGCAGCTAGGTAGGTTAAGCTTTTGGCTGCTAGAACTGAGTTCTCTAACTATGTAGCTACTGCAGGGAAACTGCCATTTTGAGGGATTCCAACCTGGGAACTAATGATGGATACTGAACCCTCAGGGATGATCCAGAAGGTTCCCAGGAGTTTGAAATGGCAGTAGAGCAGGCTTCTTTCTTCCATAGGTCTGCATGCTGAAACTGCAGAAGTGGTTACTTATTAAAACTGGCATTAAGTGCAGCTAGTATGAATTTTTTCCTAGAACCCCTGTTTGTGTACTTAGGAGTTAAGGTATATGTTAACAGCCTGTTGTAAAAAGGTGTTTTAGTCTACAGTCAGTCAACTATAGAGATAGATCTTTGAGATAGATCTCTTGATTTAACTTACTACTACAAGATTAAGTTTCAGTCCTTCCTACAAAAACAAATGTTGATATAGGGAAGGGAGACTTCTGGTCAGTTTGTAAATGTTTTTTAGCTAGCAATAGTGAAGTCCCAAATAAGGACATCCCTTCCATTTCCTGCTCTGTACTGTAGTTCAACTGTAGAAAGATGTGTTAAAGGGGGAGTTCTGGACCTCAGAGGTTTGGGGGCAGGAGAGGAGGCAGAAAAGGGAGGAGAAGGAACAACACTCAGCCACCAATGACGATTTTCTAAGACTGTGAGGGTAGGCACACATGCTTTGAGGCCACTGACCTGTTTTCAATGACTTTATACATAGCTTCCTTTGCCTACTGCAATTTTTAAATACTTAATTGCCTAGGAGAAAAAAAGCTACTGTAAATCTGTTCCCTGAGATAAGTTAGTTACAAGTAATGAAGTTCAAGTTCTTCAGCTCTATAAGAAGCATTAGACTTGCTTCTTGTACCTAATGTTAACTAAGTTAACATAGGCCTAGCAAGGTTGCTTGAGAACTGTAACTATATGCAAGACGATGATGGCCTAGACAGAAAGTCTTGTCCCTTGCTTCTACAGCAAGATACTGACTTGTGGTTCTAGTGCTATGTTTGCTTTTTTTAATTGAAGGCTATAATTTGAAGCAAAATCAATGCTGTCAGCAGCAAAAAGCTCCTGCTGTTTCCTCTTGAGTACAATATGGGGTACAGCTGATAGAAGGCTGTTCTTACCCTGGCACATATATGTTTGGGTTTTTTTAAGATGCTAGTCTCATACTTGTATGTATAGTGAGACCCATATTAAACTGCTGTATTCTAGACCTCTTGCAAATCAAGGAGAAAAGAATTAATTCAGTAAGACTTTCTTTAGTTTTCAGTAGAGAACAGTTCACACATGGCTCTTGCAGGTTTCAAGACAGTCAGATAACTGGTATACAAAAGTGATACAAAGTGCTGAAATTCTTGAATGAACAGTTGTAGCAAGATGACTTTGTCCAAGTTTACTGATTACAGAGATGAAACATCTATTTTAATTCAGCAAAGAGAATGCAGTGTAAAGGGCAAACTTCAGAAATTATGGAAAAGTATAAATCATGTCTAACTTCTCTTCTAGCAGCTTTAAGAGAAAGCCAGTGAAAAATAACTGGTCCTTAGTCAGAGGTGCTTCACACTGCTGCCCCTAAAAATCAGCATCTTCAATTTTAATGGATAGGTGTTTGCAAGTTAGTGCAATAGTAAAGTGCAGAAAGTGTTTTCCATTCTCCTCTTCTCTTTAGATGTGGGTATCTAATAAGTTGTTCAAGTATACAAAAATAATCCATTTGATTTTTCTTTTTCTAGATCATGTGGGGGACGAAGTCTTTATTTACAATGAATTTCAATAAAATTTGCATAAATACCTACCCAATACTGCATCATTTGACTTTGTGTAAGTAATCATTCTGTCCTGTTGCCACTATTGTGCTCTGTCTCTGTGGTATCAGTATTATCAATCCTTTTTTCCCCTAATGTGGCAGTAGCTTTTGAAACAGATACATCATTATCTTCAGAAACCATTTGCTCTGACTGAAGGGATTCTTTAATTTCATCTTTGCTCTGTAGCTTTCCTTCCCTTGATGCTACCAGGATTCTCAGTAAAGTATTTTCTTTAAGGAGGTTTTCTGATGCATCAGCTAATTCTTGAAGCTTTTCAGCCATTTCTAATAATTCTTGATTCTTCTGGTCATATGTGGCCTGTAACTGCTCACTGCGGAGCTGCAAAGTCTTGTGCTGCTTTTCCAGTGTGTGTTTTTGCTCCTGTAGTCTATGTTCCTCTTGCCTAGCTTCAGAAAGCTGTGCTTCCAGCCGGTAATGGGCCTGATGAAGGGCACTGATTTCTGATCTTAACTTCTGAATTTCTCTCTCCAAGTGTGAGATGTGTCCTTGCTGTAGAACTGTCTCTTTATGTAGGCATTCTTTGGTACATGGCTCTGATGAAGACAGATTTGAGTGATGTAAAATAAATTTCAGGAGATTAGGAAGGTTAACTGAAAAGTCTTCAGGGAACTTCACACTTTGTTCCTTCCTAGAAAGACATAAGTTAATATTAAAACATTCAGACAGGTAAGCAACAATAATTTCAGCTAAGCATCTGCTGTTCAACTCCAATTTGGTATCTTGGTTTTTTATCAAGAATGGTTAACATAGCAGCTAAGAGAAACCTGAACTCATGTAAAAGACCACACAGTATTTTCTTCTGATGAACCCTTTTACCTGTATTCCAGTCTGGGTGCTGTAAGAATCTCTGCACTGGACTGGTATTTGAGAGCACAATTTTCTGTCAAATTGCAGGAAACAAATTTTCTAAGTATCCCAATTATGGGTTATGAGCTTAAAGTACATATGGTAGCATCACTGTTGGGCAGGTGTGATCAGAGCATACTGACATTAACATTTGTTAATAAGTTGAAGGAGAGCATTTAAGTGTGCCTAACTCTACGTATACTGTTAGCTTTATACATGTGGACTTAACTTCTATCTGATGGGAAATTACTATTTTGAGCCTATATATGTTATCCTGGAAGAAGTAACTTAATGTGTTCCAATATCAGAAGCGTATTGTAAGGTGCAGAAAAGTAATTCGCTTTTAAACAGTAAGCAGTCATTTTTGTCAGAAGCAAGGCCCTTTTGCTGTCAGAAAACCAAATCTTTTTACTTGTTCCTCTTACTTCTTTGTCTTTATGCCACTGGGGTGATCAAGGAAGCAAACCAAACAAGTTTTTTGGTTTCCTTCTTTTTCTCTGAGGCTCGCTATATGGCTGTGAATACTAAGCCCAGCGTATGAAGAGAGAGACCCATTGCCTTCTGCTGCAGCATCAACTGTTACTCTTAACCTGACAAGAGTCCAAGCTGCTTGAAGACAAAGTACCAAATTTCTTCCTCAACATTACTAACCACCAAAAGACACCTCCAGCTGTGTCAAATATTAAAATTACTGCCCTTCTTGGACCATGTGCATACTTTATCATAAACATAGGAGGCTAAACTGTCCTCTGAGGACCAGACAGGAACTAACTCTTAACCTTCTGTTTCTGAACCAGTTAAGTCTTCAACCTTTCACGCAGTATGTTCCAGTATAGCGTAAGTTTGCTGCCTCCTGACTATGCAATAGAGCTACTTACACTTCAGATTTCAGTGCGTTTAACTGGGAAGCTAACTGATAGTTTATCACTTTGTGTTGTCTTTAGCCTTTGCCAGTCAGAAGCATATTTCATTAGGAAGCACATTTCATTAGGTAGCCATCAAAACAAAGATGATCAGCTTAGCTTATTTTCCTTTGGTTGCCAAATTCTTAACCAGACTAATGGCATGGAGCATACATTCAGACATGGGTTAATTAAACAAGTCAGAAAAAGGACATAGGATAAACCCGAACAAAAATTATTCCAAAGCAAGAGAGCCAGATCCAAGAAAATGCCTCATGCCTCAATGTTTACCACTGCTGCTCCTGTACAACACACACCACAGACAACTCCTGTGTCCCCACATGTGTGACATTATGTTTCTGAATTGCTTACACTGTGCATCTGGAACATGGGGGTTATTCAGTTACCAATTACAGTTGCCTCAAAATACTTTCTATGAAATCCAACTCATTAGCATATGGGATATAAACATACGCTAATTTCATTTACTGAGAACTACTTACTGATTTCAGGTAAAAGACAGATACTGTATTTTATCAATAATTCAAGAACTTCATCCAGATGAGGCTCCTATTCATCAAAATGAAGCTATTTCTGGTAGCATAAGCAATGTGCAGACTTCTGGTGATCAACCAAGCTACTCTTGTAATTACTGTCAGCAGTTTCTCAGCTGACAATCAGCTCACATCCCAGTTTAATGAATCATGACATCATTTAGGCAAAAAATAGTCTACACTAAGACAAACCCAACTCATTATAGAGTGGTAATATGTCATCATCCATTCTTATTGATCAAAACCACAGTATGTCTCAGAAAAGCTAAAAGGCTATTTAAAACAAAAATCAAACCAAAATATTAACAGCATGTGGTAGAAAGAAATTAAGAATAGATTTAATTTGCAAAAATTGTCTCATAAGGCAAATGCATAAGGAGCTGTACAGAAATCCTTAATATGAGACACCTTTATATCCAAAATTAATATATGACTACTCTAGTAGCACGACTGAACTACAAATAGTATCAAAACCTAATTTTCTTGATTATTTAGATGCAGCAAAATATAAAACACTGGAGAGGAAAATCAAGAGAGAAAACAATGACTAGAGGTTAGGTACCTTTACGCAACCAATTGGAACATTACAAAGACAATCTTAATAAAACTACTAAGTCTGTCACTCCAGAGACAGTCTAGAGCTGCTTTATGAAACAGACCAAGGCAAAATGAGTATCTATGAAAACAAATAGGGAACACTGGACTTTGTAGTAACACAGGGAAGATAGTAAGTATTAGAGGAAGCTTCACTTACCCTGATTTGTTCTACTGCTCTAAAACCTGCTTGAGCTATGATTTAAAATAATTGAAGAAAAACCTTTTCATCATGTTACACATGACACTCTGTCCCCCAGGAGGCATGGTTCTGCAAACTAGATCCTTGTTCAAAAGTGGGAGGGAAAATCACTTAACCCAAGTTTCCAAATAGTATGTTGGGGCTCATTAACTACAACAGTGGTCTTAAAACTGTAGCCACAACAATATCTGGAAATCAGTTTCTAACTTTTTCCAGCCCTAAAATTAATCACATTAGTATTGGATAGATCTAGTAGATCTTCACCTTACGCCACTTGACCTAGAAGACAACAGCATACTACTACTACTTCTTGTGTCAATTGTCAACCACACCTCATGAGACATGTGGCTCATCTCAAGTAAAATTGAGACTACTCATCTTTAAAGCAGCAGGTCCTCTGCTTGTAGCTGCTCAAGCCAGCCAGAACTAATGGGCTTGTGCAAATGAGATAAAGAATCGGAATGCTGGAAAAATGTGCAAAGCTGAGACCTAGTGGAATCTGCAGAACTCGACAGGTAACTAACTGGATTGGGGTATTGGCACTGAAGACTGCTGCTTTTGCTAAGCAGCAGATGGGAGTTCCTGCTCAGGTAGCCTAGGGAACAGAGAAGGACAGCAACTGAGCTGGGGGAATGAGGCAGAGGGAGCCTGATCTGAGGCTGATGTGCAAGGCTTACTGCACAAAGTAGGGGAGATGATGAGTTGGAAGTTGAGGTGACTCAGAATTTATATAAATGAAACTATTGCTGTAGTGAATTAAAACATGAATTTAGAACTGCAAAACTTAAGGCACAGGTTTAAAGATTTTGTGGGAGGTAATACTGCACAGTACCAATAGCCTGAATTACCATGTGCTGGTGATCCCAGCCTAAAGGTACTCTCATACCCTATTTTTAAGAGTTCCTTTTTTTCCTGACCCACCCTTTGTGCCTTTCCTCTACCCCGCCCTCCTTTGTCTTGATTTTTGGTTCACCCATTCATGAATCAATTCCTTTCCTCGAACTTTCTTTCTTCATCCCAGAAATCATTCTCAATCCTGATTGTCTCCTTGAAACTACGCTGCCCTGTCCTACACTCTTATTTCTTGGCTCTTTCTCTGAGGTCCTGCTTGCTGTATATAGTTTCACTTCAACAGCATGTACACTTTCTTTTACTGCTAATCTCCTTTGGATATATTAATCTCTAGGTGTTAAACTGCTACTGAAGCTTCATTTGTTTTCTGTTTTAAAGAAACAATGCAAGGCTTCTAGAACGTCAACACATCTGCTGCTACTTTCCTCCTGTGAAAACTCCAGCACTTGTTACTGAGTCAGAATGAAATCCAGAACATTTTGGCAATATACACAAATTCCCATGATGTAATTCTATCGTATCTGTAAAAGCAATGCTGTGTAATTTTTTTTTTAATTACTGCTAAAAAAATGTAATCAATAGCATTAAAGACATTAATGACAATCTGTGCTATTTCAACAAAAATTTTTTTAGAACTTTGAAAAAAAAATGTAGTTATGGCCAAGTGAAATAGTGAAGCAGTGTGTTGTTATAAGAAAAAAAGATATTTCAATAACCACAGTTTACACAGGAAGTTCTTACATGAAATAACTTTACTTTCAAGCATGGCCTTCACTTGAAGACTGTATCACACCATTTGAAATATTCATATTTTTAAAAAAAAAATTTAAAAAACCCCTTATGTTTAAGAAACACTGCAGTAGAACAGCTCAGTAAAGCCCCTGAAGTATTTGCAGTAGGATTTCCAGTTTTTCTAGCCATGCAACATGACAATCTTCCAATAACTTGTATACAATTTCCAAACAATTTTGAGTATGTTTTCATTTTAAGTATATTTTCTTACTGTACCATACTTCTGCTTCTTTCACTCCATCGCATATTCTCTTTCTACTTTATCATCACATTCATAACAGTTGTTTGGGGTTTTTTTTGCTTTATATTATTTTATGGTAACACAGTGATGTCACTAAACAAGACTAATGATATCACAAAACCAGGAAAAAGAATTCTATATTCTGGTTTTATCGGGAGTGAAAACACCTCTTATTTAGGATACATTTTACACATTGAAATTTCTTTTGGTACGAAACTTCTTTCAAGACAAATGAAATATAAAAGAGAGCAAAATTTCACCCTTATTTTCATTAAATCAGAAAAATACTTATCTCTCTATATAATGCCATTCCTATACTATGTAAAATCAGAGATTTTGCTTTAGATATTAGCATCTCCTTATAAGCATGACCTTATAAAGGCCAGAAGCATTTCAAGTCATTCTCTCTGCCACTGTTAGACTAGGTGATGGAACACTTTCATGGTTTATGCAGATTGCCAAAGAATCCAATATCCAAACCACAGGTACAGCCAGAGACACGTACATTCCCCCCCAAAGCCAAACATCAGAACAATGAGAGAAACGCAACCTGAAAGAACTTCAGTTTGAGCAATGAACGCTCCGAAGTCCCTCTGATTACATTACATTAATTCTACCACAGGAATGAGGGAGAAATAAAGATTCACAGATTAGGACCACTGAAATATTTCCAAAGGATGCATAAGCCCTCCTTTAGTACTCAGACTCTCTACTTTTTTTAAAAGAAAATTTTTTTACTTCAAAAACAGGTAACAATCTATTCCCTCTCCCTCTGTAATGTCAGGATTGTTAGTTTTTGCTCTCTTAAACAAGACTTAAGTTTCAGCTGGGTTACTTGCTCTCCATCTGTGATTATGTTTTATTTTTCTTTATTAAAAACACAGCAAGCAAATCCTTGCATTTTACTGCAAGAATCTGTTGTAATATTCTTTGAGATATCTCTTAGTTTATCCAGTTAGAAGCGATTAGATACAAGTTGTACTAGATCTATGTTGCACCACCATCTAGGTAATTTCTCCCCCTTTTCCCCTCTTGTAGTCACTCATTAATTTATTTGGACCATGCCAAAATAATAATTTTAAATACAACCAAATAATAAGGAAAATTAACTGAAGAACAACATTAGTAATGCTGCTGTTCATACCTGAAGACTTACAAACAATTTAATGTCTTTTGGAGAGAGCATACCACCAGCTAGCCACGTCTATTGGGTTTTTTTTTTTTGTTGTGGTGGTGGTACGCATAAAGTAAGAATGCCTATATGGAAATGAATTACTGTTTGGCTTTTTTCTCTACTAAGACATGTAACCTGACAATTATTACAACTTAGTAAAATGAAAGTTAAAAACCCAAAGGGAAAAGAATACATTACCTCTGATGAGGAAAAAATAAAATGGTTGGGAGATGGTCTGTCATAAATTCCCATGGAAGGTCATTTCGAGTGATATCTATTCTGTTAAGAAAAGACACACTGGTGAAGAGAACCAGCAGATGAACAATCTGTATTTTCTTGTGAAATGCCGTTTTAGGGATTGGGAAGAAGGAAATGCAAGTATCTGTGAAAGTCAGTCTAAATGTGTTATATCAAAAATATGTTGTGCATATGAGTCAGCAGAATTAATTATCAATATTCAAGATGATGCCTCCCAGTTTAACAAATATCTGCGTTGGGTTCTTTTTCTGCAAAAATATGTACAGTATTCCAACTGCTCTCACTCAGCAATTAAATTGCACAGTCACTCATTATGTACACACCTTCCTTCTCTGAAACAAACAAACCTGCCTAACAGTTTCAAAGTGAGACTGAAGGTTTTTCTATCAATTAAATTTGTTCCTCAAGTACAACTCTACGAATATTTTCCCCTCAAGCAGTTTGCTTCTTCCAAGGACAAGCACATTCTTGAAGGCACAATTTCTTCTAAAGCTCTACGTAGAAAGGAACACAAGATTTTGTGAATGAAACGCTTGTTCAATTGCTTGTTATGTTCTTCTCTGCATTTTTAGGTTTTCTTTGATTACAAATAAAATTCTTATTAATTACAACAATTTTATTATAGAAAAAAACCATAGACAACCACATCAGTAATACTGCAATAAAAATAATGGAGCAAATGAGAGAACTTCAAAGTCAGGAAAGAGAATGGGTAGAGATTTGAGAGTAGCACTACATTTGTCAGAATAAAGCCGCAAATATAAACAGGTGGTAACTCCAGATTTTTAATTGATTTTTTTTCCTATACTTCTCATGCTGCCTCCTGGAGTAAGCTCAGTCAAATGAAACACGGATGCAATCAGAGTAGATGTTTTAAGTATTGATGTATTATCAAATACACATACAATGTTTAGGTTGCACTGAAACATTAAAAATCCTGGAAACACCAAACAAAAGCCTGTCTTTATATATATAGAAATATATATTTTAATATATAAAATATATATAAAAATATATTATACACATGCATGCATAGATTATATATAACAGTTGTTTGGGGTTTTTTTTGCTTTATATTATTTTATGGTAACACAGTGATGTCACTAAACAAGACTAATGATATCACAAAACCAGGAAAAAGAATTCTATATTCTGGTTTTATCGGGAGTGAAAACACCTCTTATTTAGGATACATTTTACACATTGAAATTTCTTTTGGTACGAAACTTCTTTCAAGACAAATGAAATATAAAAGAGAGCAAAATTTCACCCTTATTTTCATTAAATCAGAAAAATACTTATCTCTCTATATAATGCCATTCCTATACTATGTAAAATCAGAGATTTTGCTTTAGATATTAGCATCTCCTTATAAGCATGACCTTATAAAGGCCAGAAGCATTTCAAGTCATTCTCTCTGCCACTGTTAGACTAGGTGATGGAACACTTTCATGGTTTATGCAGATTGCCAAAGAATCCAATATCCAAACCACAGGTACAGCCAGAGACACGTACATTCCCCCCCAAAGCCAAACATCAGAACAATGAGAGAAACGCAACCTGAAAGAACTTCAGTTTGAGCAATGAACGCTCCGAAGTCCCTCTGATTACATTACATTAATTCTACCACAGGAATGAGGGAGAAATAAAGATTCACAGATTAGGACCACTGAAATATTTCCAAAGGATGCATAAGCCCTCCTTTAGTACTCAGACTCTCTACTTTTTTTAAAAGAAAATTTTTTTACTTCAAAAACAGGTAACAATCTATTCCCTCTCCCTCTGTAATGTCAGGATTGTTAGTTTTTGCTCTCTTAAACAAGACTTAAGTTTCAGCTGGGTTACTTGCTCTCCATCTGTGATTATGTTTTATTTTTCTTTATTAAAAACACAGCAAGCAAATCCTTGCATTTTACTGCAAGAATCTGTTGTAATATTCTTTGAGATATCTCTTAGTTTATCCAGTTAGAAGCGATTAGATACAAGTTGTACTAGATCTATGTTGCACCACCATCTAGGTAATTTCTCCCCCTTTTCCCCTCTTGTAGTCACTCATTAATTTATTTGGACCATGCCAAAATAATAATTTTAAATACAACCAAATAATAAGGAAAATTAACTGAAGAACAACATTAGTAATGCTGCTGTTCATACCTGAAGACTTACAAACAATTTAATGTCTTTTGGAGAGAGCATACCACCAGCTAGCCACGTCTATTGGGTTTTTTTTTTTTGTTGTGGTGGGGGGAAGCATAAAGTAAGAATGCCTATATGGAAATGAATTACTGTTTGGCTTTTTTCTCTACTAAGACATGTAACCTGACAATTATTACAACTTAGTAAAATGAAAGTTAAAAACCCAAAGGGAAAAGAATACATTACCTCTGATGAGGAAAAAATAAAATGGTTGGGAGATGGTCTGTCATAAATTCCCATGGAAGGTCATTTCGAGTGATATCTATTCTGTTAAGAAAAGACACACTGGTGAAGAGAACCAGCAGATGAACAATCTGTATTTTCTTGTGAAATGCCGTTTTAGGGATTGGGAAGAAGGAAATGCAAGTATCTGTGAAAGTCAGTCTAAATGTGTTATATCAAAAATATGTTGTGCATATGAGTCAGCAGAATTAATTATCAATATTCAAGATGATGCCTCCCAGTTTAACAAATATCTGTGTTGGGTTCTTTTTCTGCAAAAATATGTACAGTATTCCAACTGCTCTCACTCAGCAATTAAATTGCACAGTCACTCATTATGTACACACCTTCCTTCTCTGAAACAAACAAACCTGCCTAACAGTTTCAAAGTGAGACTGAAGGTTTTTCTATCAATTAAATTTGTTCCTCAAGTACAACTCTACGAATATTTTCCCCTCAAGCAGTTTGCTTCTTCCAAGGACAAGCACATTCTTGAAGGCACAATTTCTTCTAAAGCTCTACGTAGAAAGGAACACAAGATTTTGTGAATGAAACGCTTGTTCAATTGCTTGTTATGTTCTTCTCTGCATTTTTAGGTTTTCTTTGATTACAAATAAAATTCTTATTAATTACAACAATTTTATTATAGAAAAAAACCATAGACAACCACATCAGTAATACTGCAATAAAAATAATGGAGCAAATGAGAGAACTTCAAAGTCAGGAAAGAGAATGGGTAGAGATTTGAGAGTAGCACTACATTTGTCAGAATAAAGCCGCAAATATAAACAGGTGGTAACTCCAGATTTTTAATTGATTTTTTTTCCTATACTTCTCATGCTGCCTCCTGGAGTAAGCTCAGTCAAATGAAACACGGATGCAATCAGAGTAGATGTTTTAAGTATTGATGTATTATCAAATACACATACAATGTTTAGGTTGCACTGAAACATTAAAAATCCTGGAAACACCAAACAAAAGCCTGTCTTTATATATATAGAAATATATATTTTAATATATAAAATATATATAAAAATATATTATACACATGCATGCATAGATTATATATAAAGATACGTCTGTAAACTGGTTTTGGCTGGGATAGAGTTAATTTTCTTCACAGTAGCTTCTATGGTGCTATGCTTTAGATTTGTGATGAAAATAGTGTTGATGACATAGGAATGCTTTGGTTACTGCTGAACAGTGCTTCCACAGCATCAAGGCCTTCTCTGTTACTCACTCTGCCTGCACAGTGGCTACGCCGGGGGGGCGTGGGGACACAACCAGGCAGACGACCTGAACTAATCAAAGAGCTACTCCATACCATCTAATGCCATGCTCAGCAACAGAAGGGAAAAAGGGGGCTTTAGGGTTAGCCATCCTTTATCTGGGAACCGTCTGGGCATCAGTATACCCACAGGAAGTGAGGAGTGACTGCCTTTGCATCACTTGTTTGTTTTGCCTTCTTCTCTTTCCTTCTACTTATCCTTCAATTATTAAACAATTTTATTTTTATTTTGTTTTATCTCGACCTCCAAGTTTTCTTGGGTTTATTCTTCCTTTCCTCTTCCCTCGTCCCACAGGGGATGAAGGGGGGAAGTGAGTGAGCGGCTTTGTAGTGCTTAGCTGCCCACCAGGGTTAACCCACAGCAATATGTGTTTTGCCTATCTCAAACAATTTCTCAAATACTGTACCACAGGATATAATTATTTGCTACAAATTATCAGAGAGAGGGGTAAAAATTGTTTTCTGCCGCTGTTTTATTGATTCACTTCCTGAAATTAGGAAGCTTCAAGGTTAATTGCATGGTTTAAAAATTCATTTTAATTAAACGGCATAACTACTGCAGTGAAACTGAAAACCACCATATTTATACAGAGGAAAACAAAATAATACATTCAAAGAGAAATGAAGCAGATGACATTCACAGCTACTATTGCAAGATTGTAGAGAGAAAAAAAGTAATTATTTTCTAGGCCGATGACCTCAATGAACTTACATTATTCTAGAAAGATGAAATTAGAATCTTTTTTTACCTTGCCACAATGAAATTATCAGGAGGCAAAAGCCGAGCAAGTTGAATAAAGATGTGATTAAGAGAAGCACAGAATCCACACCACTGTGCATAATAGAGCAGCAAGACATTCTGGAAAATGAAATGGAGAAGAGTTTGATTATCTATTGTAGTTAATCTGCAGTACAGGAGGACTAGTCCTTCACAACATCTAAAACTTGGAGCCCTTAAAATGTGGAAGGAAACTATATCGTAATGTTAATAAACTTTGTTATAAGCTATTTACTGATGCTCTCTGTCTACTGAGTTAACACACAAAAGCTTTCCATAAAAAAAAAAAAAAAAAAAAAAAGACAAAATGAAAAGGATTATTTAGATGATTTAGTTTAGGATCATTCCCTTTATGTGAAAATGCACCAAACTTCACTACACTTCCCAAGATTCTTTTTCAATCTTAAATTCCTACATATCTAACAGTGACTGTAAACCTCATATAGGAGGGAAAAAAAAAGATAATGTCTAGACTCCTGCTTTTTGCCTGTAGCTAGCAAAGGAGTTAGGGCTGCTGGAAACCGATTACTGGAAAGGCACGCATTCACTGCAGACATGAAACACAATGGATATTAATCCTTACTATCACATCTTTAAGAAATCAAAGCAATTTAACTACTGTTCAGGATGACATCCTGCATAAAGGCATTTCATGGCATGCCATTAGAAAGCTTTTACCTGCGAGAGTTTGGGGTTTTTTGCTGTGTGCTTTCAAATAATGCTTTATGTTTAAATAGTTCTTTTTTTTGTCCATTATATCTACTTTGCAATATTTTGTAACTTTCTTTAAAGTAAGTTTTTTTAAATATATATAAAAATATAAATATATAGGAAAAAAAGTTGTGGTATATTTATTTCCTTTGAGGTATGAAACAGAAATCAAATATTCTTCAGTGTTACCTCAAACCCTATGTATTTAGGCTGTGCTCCTGCTACAGTGGGAGAAAAAAAAAAAAATCAAGTCACAGACACTTTCTTTTTAAATTAAAATCTGTATCTGAAACACACAGGAAAAAACCCTTACCTCCTCCTCCCCAAAACCCAACAAACATTGAAGTGTGGCAGAAACCTGTCATGGTATCAGCTGCACTGCCTTTTCGATTATTTAAACACCAGAAGATATTTTGCAGATTTACTTAAGATCACATTATTCCAAATTGCCTTTTTAAAAAAAAAAAAAAAACAACTTTTGAACTTTTACAAAATAACGTATTTTATGTTACAAATAAGCAAAGTACATCAATGTAAAAAAAGAATGAAACTCCTCAAAAGTCTGAGCAATGATTTGTAAGAAACTTTTCCAGTAATGAGATGTACCTTTTCACTCAAAAACACGGTATCATGAAAGGTATTAGTTGTCACTTCTGTGATTACATGCTGCTCATGAGAATGGACTGAAGGATCATCAACAAGATGCCTTTTCAAGGGACTGTAGAGAATACTGAAATTTTTTATAAAGTTCTCTGAAATGAAATTGATAAATAACAAAGTTATTTCAGTTTCACAAATACGTGATTTTGGCAGTTTTTACTTTGGAACAACCTACAGAGAAAATACAAATTCAAACCTGTTTTCGTGTCACTAATTTTTGACAGTTTGGTATCAATTTTTGAATAACCACCACTGATGTGGAAACAAGATAAAATTTCACTGTTTTTTTGTTTTGCTCATTACGGTCATCTTTTTGCTTGCCACACAGCTCTTTAATCTTGCTTCTATTACTAGTCAATGTACTATAGTAACAATTCTCTACCCTCCTAATCTAACCACACACCCAGCAAGTCATAAATAGTATCCTCTCACCATTTTTGACTTTCTACATAGAATGGAATAATTTGTCCCTTATCTTGAAGGCTCCACGTCATTCCACATGTATTTGTATTTATTCTTTCTTTTTTAATTACTTTCCCTGTAATTCTCCCTTTGCTTTAGACCTTTAAAGGCCACGCTATTCCCATGGCAATATGACCAGCCACCTTTTGTTTACCAGCGACCACCTTCCTCTTCATTCAACTTTCTCCTTAGTTTTAAGATATTTAACAAGTAGCTGGCCAATGGTAAAAATTTAAAACAAGCTCCAAAGCCCTCAGCTACCTTCAGCTACACTACTCTGAGTCTGGACCATGTTCTCTAAATTGCTGCAAGATCGACTGTATCCTTCTTTTCAATTTAGATAGATAAATATTATTCTATACATTTTAAAAAAAGAATATTCTATCTTTTGTCTTGATTACTGAATATCAAACATTCTAAAAATAATTATTTGATCAAATAGAAGCATCTTGTGCTGGTATTTCCAGTCCAAAAACTAGGCCCAAGTAAAACTGGCACTTTTGTACCAAATACCAGATCATCAAGTTTATTTCTGAAATGCAAACAGCAGTACATTTCATTTTATATTTACTATTCATCATTTCATTAAATTCTTACATCAGACCAAAACAGGTTTTTTTTTTTCTTTCTAGATCTCCAGTTTTGGATTATCTATGCATGATTAAATAATAACTGAAAGGAGGGGGCTAATTAAAAGACATACTCCTGAATTTTTAGAAAGCATCCATAAAAACTGTTATAGCATCCATAAAATCTGTTAAAGGTATGAAGCACAAATCTGCTTTGTTATTTTAGAATATCAAAAGTTAAAAGGCTTAAGAAAATAAAATAGAATTTTCAAAAACCCACAAAATCCAAACATAAATCACAAGTGACTCCTTGACAAAAGATGTAGAAGCAAAAAATTTCCAGAAGTTCAAATGACCTGCAATAAAAATATACTGAGTGTTACTCAGCAGAGAAACCCTCATCATGCTCAGGAAATCCTGTGACCTGAAAAAAAGTTGGAGACAGAAAGTACTGGGAGCACAAAGGGGACGGAAATTTCTATCTCCTCACTCTGATCTTAATTTTTCCTAAACATCCCTTTACCGTCACTGGGGATTTGTTTGCTTTTCCAGAGTGTTTTTCTGGGGGGGTTGGGATGGAGACAGGATACAGGGCTGGATGGGATCCTTAGAACAAACAGCCGTGTTCTTATTATGTTGTGCATACTGTTGTATTTACAGATTTGTGGCAAAATGAAAATGTGATTAATGCTATAAGAATTACAGGGATATACTTTCTTGAACAATTTGTATGTTTATATGTCTATGTTCACCTGAATTTACTTCCGTGTTTACTTACACTGCTACCATTAAAAACCCCTGCATCTTCTGAAGGTGGACTCAGTTTTGCACATCATCATGATAGGTAAATGCATGTGGTTAGGCATGTTGTGTCTTACTCAACAACTTGCAAATAAATCACAACTGCGATTGTTGGGCTGCTTGGTTTTTTGGGGTTTTTTTCCTCCCCCAATTGAGCGAGAAAATAAAGCATATTGACAGATTTGGCCAAAACCACTTCAGAGCTCTACACTGAAAACACACATGCTTTTCAAAATAAATTTAAAACAATTTATAAGTTAGTTTCAGAAGACAACAGGAAGGACTAGTCTCTGCTGGTAAGTGGGCAGTATCTCACAATGGTTGAGCAAACACCAACACCACCATTAATACAGAAACGTCTTCTGTAATATCAAATGTGTTAGATGCATAGTAATTTTTTTTTTCTTCCCACAAGCAAATTAGTTCTGATTTTACCAATTCCCTCAGTGTATCAGGCAGTCAAGAACCACACATTTGGAGGTTCACTTCTTTTAAAGCAAATTACTTTTGGTACATGAATCTTAGTTCTTATGTCATCTAGAACACAATTCTACTGCTTGGTTAACTACTAAATAAATTAGAATAGACTAAAGTACGATTCACAATGTTGATTATAGTATCACTTTTCAAAATGGCATTAAGTTTTCCATTCATAAGCTTACTTGCAAACTTAATTTTCTTATTTCAAGCATTTGTATAATGGATACCATACCCAGGGTAGATCCAACAAGTGATTGATTTTGATCCAGGACATAGTGTACTTCTTCTTTCAGGTCAACAATGGCAGCAAATTCCTTAAGATGAGTAGATCTTGATGCTCCTAGTCTCTCTGCATATATCCAAAAAAGATTTGAATCCAGTAGATAGAGATTCAAGGTTTTGTTGGTCCTGCAGCTCAGACCTGTAATGTTAGTGCCACTAATATGAAGGTCAGGAATAAAACAATTCCTATCCTCAATGTGAGGAATAGAACATTGGGTGTTACCTTTCTTCCCATGGGAAGAAAATGCTACTCTGGGGGTCTGAAAGATGGTCTTCTCAGAACTAATGAAACTTAAAAAATGTCTGTTTACCGTCCTGCAACATGCAGTGTAATAGCTAAAAGGACTATAGAAACTTAAGAAATTGCTGCATTCTATGGTATTTGATATAACTTGAAAAAAGGTATGTTCCTGGAGGTAGAAAGAGTCCAAAGCTGCTTCTATCTCTAAAAAGTTACAGCGTGGCACATGGACTTTATTTGGTTTGACACCAAGTGTCTGGTTAATGCAAAGCTCACAGACATTGTGAGTTCTAGATATTGAATGCCACTGTGGAAGCACCACTGTGTTACAGCATGGGTACTTGGTTATTGAAAATGTTTCCAATAATTTCATATGTGCATCTGTTACAGAGGAATCAAAAGCTGGTGAATCTGTGTCTCCTAAGTGTTGAAAATCTGGCTCAACTGCCTGACTTTTATTACAGTTGTGGTATTCCAAGGCCACTTTGGTAATCTACAGGGGGGAAAAGAAGAAAGAAAAAAAAATTTCAAGGTTAACTGTATGTAGTTCACTCAAATGCAGTTATCTGTTGCAGGTTTAAAAACATAAATGCAATTAGAGATGGAATTTCAGAAACATGAAGCTGACTACTCCTTTGTTCTTACAAAAAATTATAGGAGGCTCTGACTTGGTAACAAAGTTAAATTTTCAGATATTTCAGCATGTAAGAATTAAATGTACAGAATAAAAAAACACTTTAAAATTTTTTCAGTCCACTACATTGATCTCAAGGTCCTCTTTGCATCATATTTATCACAGTGCAATAACACTATGTTTTAAGGTTAAATCCCACTACAAGAAGCATTAATCAATACAGGTTCCTGACTTTCCCTTATTTTCCAATACAAGGAGGAAATAAAGAAAAGCATTCCCATATGAAAAGGGTACAGAGATTTTTCCTGGTATAGGTGGTGCACAGATTTCCTAACAATCACTAACAGTGCTGAAGCAATGTTAGTATTCTTCCAGCCATGGGCATACAGTTGTAATACTGCAGGTGTACTTTGCATATAGTAAGGTGTGACTTACTAGGAGAAAGGGAAAAAAAAAAAAAAAAAAAAAAAAAAAAAAAAAGAAAAAAGCCTGCCTCTCAGTGCAAACATTGCTGTGCTACATTGCCATTTTGTTTTTCATAACCAAGGGGAAACAAGCAGCAAAGAAGGCTTGTGTGTAGACCATAGAAGGAATTCCCTTTCTAGGAGATAAATAACAGAACATACAGGAAAGGAAAGTGAAAAAGGAAGTTTCCCTTCATCCTCTCTATTACATTAAACATAATCAAAATACAGAACATACACACATTGCTTACACAAGAACACTTTTATAGGAATCATAATTATCAAAGGGATGTCAAAGCGTCACATCTAGGAGGGATGCTATGTCACAGGACCATCAGTATTAAGATGTGGTCTATAGGAACAGTTTGTTACAGTCTTGAAGAATTCATTGTTAGATGTTTTCATCCTGAAAATGCTCACTTAAATACTTAAAAGAAACTTGACCGCTCATACTATAATCTAGCCTGAAGATTTTGACTACCTACACAGAGAAACATGAGAAGAAATTATGAAGAGAAAACCAGATTTGCAATAAGAAATCTCATTTCAGCCAGCTACTATCAGAAAAAAATTTTGCTCTGAGAGCTTTAAATATACAAGTTGACAGCCTTGTTCTTTGCAGCTGCCTTGCAGTCATGTGGTTTCATTGCTCGATGAAACCCACAGATGGCTGCAGTAAACATCTCTTCCTGTGGTAAACAAGTTGTGTAGTATCTCTCTATCAAAGGGAAGCTATACAAGATCAACTGGAATACTTTGTATCTCATTTCACATTTTGATATAGATAAATACTGTTATTTAGCAGAATGAAATCTGAAACGGAACATCTTATGTTGCACTGATTTGATCTAAATAAGCTGTAACTGTTACTAGAACATTTAATCTGTGACAAGCATCACGGAATTAAGTCTACCAAATATAAGACAGGTTAGTACAAGAATAATGGCAGTTCTTTTCCAGTCTTTCCACAAAGATTTCCCCAACCCTATCTTGTAGCAGTCTAGCTTATATTGTGACTATTTGTAGTTTGGCTAAATATTATATCATTGTATCTCTCCCTGGTAACAGGCAATAGGACTAGGGGAAATGGGCTGACGTTGCGCCAGGGCAGGTTTAGGTTAGACATTAGGAAAAAAATTTTCACTGAAAGGGTTGTCAGGCAAGTCCCCATCCCTGGGGGTATTTAAAAGACAGGTAGACGAGGTGCTTAGGGACATGGTTTAGTGGTGGGATGGCAGCATTAGGTTAACGGTTGGACTTGATGATCTTAAAGGTCTTTTCCAACCTAAACAATTCTATGATTCTATAAATTATTTTCATTTTTTTCCCTCATTGCTTCAGACACTGCAATATTAATTAGGTCTCCTTGCAGAAACCATACATTCAGGACACAGATTCCATATATGTAAGTCAGCATTGCCACCAAAACTTAGCCTTGCTTTTCATCTTCCACAGATGCTTGTTTCTTGCTCCACACTGTCCTTAGTGCTACGTGATCACCACCGTGATGTGCAGCTATGTGATATACTAAATGGGATAATGGGTTACAGCTGAAAAATAGCCCAGGGAAAAAATTATTTTTCAGCCAAGTTAGTTTTCCCATTTCATTTACTGCACAGATACATAAACTCCTGTCCTAGGCAGTTCAGAAATGGAAATAATGGCAGAAGAAAATTGGAAGGTGACTAAGGAATGCACAGGATATAAAAAATTCTGAGTAGTTTGGGCTCTATTTCAAATAACACTGTCTGGTTTAATAAAAGGTCGATTCTTCTTGCGTAACCACCTCTGGAAAGACAGAAGGAGAGGAGAAATAGTATGGGGTAGACAAAACACAAGTCCTGCAACACTCAATATATTCTTACTCTTTCGTTTGAGCTATGTCAGCTGGAACAGAAGACCAAAGATCTGCATTTCCCACACAGCACTCGCCACAAAAAGAAGGAAGTCAAGGGACAGAGTTAGGTACTTGTTCTAAACAACTGTTGACATGAGACAAAGGCATGTTGTGGGGGCGTAAGGGAGTTGTGATAACATGGCTTGAGAAAACATGTTTTTAAACAAGACTGAATACTTGGAACTGTGAAATAAAATGAGGTGTCTGTCACAAATAAGCTCAGAACCCTGACGAGAGTTCTAAAGTTCTAGTATTTTTGAAACAAAAAGTAATTATATCACTTACTTCATCTAAAAGAGGATGAATTTCTGCTAAGGGATTGTAAGGTATAAATATGAGAAGTGCTGGTCCTTTCTTCAGCTCATTGTTTAGAAGAAGGCTTTTTCCACCATGTGGTCTCAGCCAGCGTATAAACATCTCTCGATTTTCTAGAGCCCACTTGCAAATGTTCTCAGCAGTATAGTTCATGATGTCATTTGGATATATCTTGAAGGGGGAAAAAATAATTATTTGTCCTCACTTGGTTTAGTAATGAATGCAGTTCTCAAATATGGCATGCTTTGTTACTGTAATGCCTAAACCTCTCTTTCTAAATTTAATGACACTATTCAGTGAGCTTCAGCATTTCATATACCCTTACCCTTTGGGAAATCTTCCCAAGATGCTCATCAGATCATAGTAACACACACAATCTTTCAGGCAAAAAGTATTCTACCAGGGAAGCTCCTCTTCCTTTTACTACATCTTTATAATCTTTACTTTTCTCACTAGTATAAATTTCTTTTATAAGTGAAAGAGCTTAGTCTCTATGTTGGTATCATCACATATCTTGATTTACGACATATTAGAAAACTTTTTCCCACTACTCAGTCACCATATTAACTCATTTTAAATCAGTCTTTTGAGAGCCCAACATCAAGACTTCATTTAAAACCGGTATTTCTTATTATTGAACGTGGAGAATAAAAAGCACTTACAGCTTCTAGGGTTATTTTAATAAATTAAGGAAAGTTTATCTTTAATCATTTGCACAGACAAAAGTAGTTTTATGTATTTACCAGTAATCTAACCTGAAAAATCCATGTTTTCGCTGGTCTCGAATAAAATACATGTTACCATACTTATCTTCACAGAGTTTCTAGTCATGGTAGCAATGTGGATAGATAAGGTATGTCAAATAGCAAATGTAAGGTTAGTATTTTCAGTCTTAGTCTTCCAAAAACAAGGCACATGGATTAAGAGTTACTATAAATTTTCAATTAAATTAATTTGCATGATTTTTTCTAATCAGTGTAATGTCACACCTTTAAACTGAAATGCAAGTTTTCACTCTTCCTACTATCTCTCCACAAAATCTCTTTGTCCATACCCTCATTCAAGTAGCCTTCTAATTCTGACCCACTGACAGGGGCAGAATCTTTAGGAAAAAGTCTTTCTGTAGTCATTTCTGAGCTGCTTGGGTTTTCAGGTTTTGTTTTGATAGCGACAATCAACTTGGTTCTTAGCTACTGTTTAGAACAGCTGCTGACCGACATAATGAAAATGTGTATTACTGTACAAAAATATTGTTCTTAAACATCCTGTATCCTAAAGCTCAGTGAAACACTTATTCAAGGTCTACCACAACAGAGCTTAAATTCTCCATGTACTGTCTCAGAGCGACTACAACATAAATACAACTCACAAGAGATGTGTTGACATGTCTGTGCAAATACACGCTGCCTGAATGCACCAATGAGATCTCCTCTGCAACACGTTTATCCGTGATCACTCCAAAGCGTATTGTTCCAAGGTAATCTGAAAAGGCAAATTTTCAGTTTTTAAATACAATTATACACACTGAACTTGTCTCCTGAAAGCCTTAGAAGAACACTTTCAAACCAAAACACAGGACATTGCTGTGTAAAGGCACAGAAATCTTACTGAACAGCAACTGCCAATATTGGTGATTAAGTGAGGTAGAAGATAGATGACAAAAGCAGGCAACAAGAACAAACGTACTCCTCTTCTGCACTCAAGGTATAAAGAATGTTAACCTGAATTGTCTGATTCTTGATTTTCTTATTAAGTATAGAATCTGATATCACAGATGCACCTTGCTATGTGTTATGGCATTTCAAAAGCCAAGATGAGATATACATATAAGAAAAACATGAAAAATGACCATTTATAGATGACGTACATATAGATGACAGTAAATACATATTATTTAAATATATATTTCTATATTTATAAATATGTACACCCAAGGATAGAATGCTTCGCATCTCTATGCTGCAAAGAACTGTCTGAATATATAAATGGAGAAATTACAGAACAAATTGTAGGAGAACAGGCCCTATCATATACCAAGTCAACAGCACAGTAAAATCAGAATAATGGTATAAATTTCCCTCATTTGCTGACAGCAAGAAATATCCCTAAAACGTGCTCATCTTAACATTAAGAAAATTCTATCCAGAATTTATGACCCCAAAAAAGGTATTGATCATACACAAAGTTTGCATATTTAAATGCAAGAGGTTTTGTATTTTAGATTATCAATGCAAAACAACAGGGGTAGAAAGCCCTTCTCAATCATGCTGCCTTGTACCAGCTCTGTAACTCCATCCAGGAAAGTACTTTGTTGAATTCAGTTACTATGTATTGACAAAGCCAGGTTCATCCTAATGCCTCTGAACCCGACATTTCAAATGCTGCACAAGACAAACACTCTTGGATTCAACTTAAATAAGTCCTAGTATGATAATGGCTCTACATGGGTTGCAGCTACACATTTAGTTTTTTGAGGAAACTGTATCTTAATGTATCCTTGAATAGCAGCCTTTCACATACTTTATTCCATGATGGCCAATCACTTAATAAGCTTTTTATGTAAGCACTATGCTTGCACTGTAATAAAAGACAGTCTCATAATTAGATCAACATCAGGAAACACTCAAAAGGGATTAATTCCCAAGTTACAAAATATTGCAAAAAAAATACTGAAGCCCATATACATAACTCATTCATGGATGCCTTAAATTATGAAAATTAAGATTTACCTTTCTTTAATGAATGTAATGCTGATGTGAAGAATGTTAAATAACCAGGTGGTTGAGGTGAAGCATTGAACTCAAAATATCCTAGAACTCCAGGCTGAAATAGTAAGAATTAGAGTTAGTTAAGCTATTTTCAAGTATAAATATATGGGGCACAGCAATTATTTCCTTACAGTAAAACACAACAAATTTTTAAAAGACAAGAATGTGTATTGAAGAACAGTCACTTTATGCTGCAAGAAAAATTTTAATATTAAAAGACTGGATGGAAATCAGTTCTAAAGCTGTCATTCAAAAGCTATGTATGAGAGAGGAGTTTATGGCTGTAGATGTGTAAGTTTCAAATCACGTATTTCCCATGTTAGCTATTAAAGTTGACTAAAAACAATTAATGATTTGCTTTGTAACTATTTTATGAACCAGTTCCAGCACCAACATAAGAACCATAAGCATCATAAAGACTTCTTTTAGAACTGGAATACCAAATGTGATTTTTCAGAGTTTAAGCAACTTGAACAGTAACACCATAATTGTTCACTATGTTGCACATAATTCGCAACTACATATGAATTCACACATTTTGTGTGTGAATACTTGAACTGCTAAGCCAACTTATTATCCCATCATTAAGCTACCAGTCACTGTAAATTCTTTCAGTATATCCTGCAGGAGTCGGTGAGAAATCAGCTGCACAAAAATAATGAAAGAGCCCCGTATCCCACCTCCATATCCATAAAGTTCTTCAAATTGCCAAACAGACAATTCAAAATTTAAAAGACTCATCCCTAACTAGGCCTATTGACTTTGCCAGGTATGAAGCCTAAATGGCTTTGTATTCAATTCAGGAAGAGAATCTGGGAGAAGCTTACTTGGAACAGAGGTGCATAGTCTTTAGACTTCTCTCATTCCAAAATTTCAATTAAGTTTTGGGTTTAAATTTTGCAAAATATAACCCATTAAAAATCATTATGAATTACATTTTTTAATGCATCACTCAAATTGGATTAACAAACTTTCAGGACAGAGTAAGTGATGGAATTTGGTTGTCATTTGTTTCCCAGTTCCACCAGTGCATACAGAAAGAGCATCTGATAAAAGCAAGAGCACTCAGGACTGCTGTGGAACAAAAGATTCCAGACTCACGAAGCACCCATTTGTGTGGCAAATATATTCCCACATAAGTGTTTTCACTTGGTGTTTCAGAGGCTGCTTTATTTTTATATGGAGTTTTACATATAAAATGTTTCATTTCTTTTTAAAACATGAACATATATTTTATCTGTTGCTGTCATTAGCGATATGAATTCAGTTGTTCATACCAGCCATATGAATTGAGCTAATTCAGTATGAACCAGCGATCTCAGGATGTTCAGCGATAACAACATTGTCCACTCCAACTAATAACCTGCTCTTTTTAGGCAGGAATTATCTTTCATGAATGAATGCTAAACACAAGACCCTTGTTCATAAAGATTCCTTATGAGATATCCCCAGAAAATTATCAATAATAAAAATGAGATACAAGCAATTACTGAAATTTCTGCAATAACAACTGCCAAGAGGGAAATAAAAATATAAATAAAATAGAAGAGGAAAAATACAGAAAAATAATAGCACTCGTTCTTCTTTTAAACAATAAACAGGTTAGTAATTAGTGTTCATCTTTTTCTCCAAATTAAGACAGTAAAAAGAAACAATCCATTATAAAAAACTTTTAAAGCATTCGTGTGAACCAAAATAAGGAGACAGATAAGATGATAAAAATCGCAGTGTCCCATTTCCTAGGACCATTTTTGAATACCGTTACTGTACAAAGCGAACTTTACAGCACCAAACACTGAATAGAAGAACAGTCAAAAGTGACAGTAAAATGTGAAAAGAAGCCAAAAGTCATATCTAGAAATATTTATAAAGTTATTAAAAAAGGTGATGTTCTGATTCTGACTGCCTGTTCTGTTGTACACCAATAGCAGCTTAAGACTTCCAGATTGTAAAGAATAAGATGTTTCCATGAGACATTTTGGAAAGTGTTTTTTCAAGAAGAAAAAATTGAGATGGGAGAATATATACTAATGCTATATGCCTAATCAGTAATCTGGTTAATTAATGTCCTTTAAATGATCATCTCAGTTAAAATTTCCTCCCTGTTACAGCGTGCAATTATACATATGAGGAAAGTGTCAAAAATGCTTTATTTCTTCTCAAGTACCATGCAAATTTTCCTATTCTTCTGTCAGAATGAAGACATTCAGTTGCTAATACCAGCTTCATTTTAACAAAATTGAATACTTACAGGTGCTAGTGACAAACAAGGAATCTTGCTCCGTACAAGTGAGATTCAAGTCTTACAGAAGAGATACCTTGATGTAAATAAGAGGTTCCTAATTTTGAAGACGAGCTTGACAGCAGCAACTCCCACTTCCTTTAATGGAAGAACCTCCAAAACAAGCAATAACTGGTGTCGGAACACTACCTGCATACAGTGTGTGTGGGCATCTACATACAAGCTGTTATTGATGATCAGCTGCTTCCAGGCAACCATTTGTGTGGAGTTAAGGTTAACTATCTTCACTCAGGCAGTTAGGAACAATCAGCTGAACAGGATATGACTTTCTGCCGTATAAAGTTGGAAGACAACATATCAGAATGTGACATAGGGGTAGTTTAAAAGACACTGCTTTGCTAGAGTGGAGTTTACTGGAGCTTTTCTTCCCACAAAACTATTTTCAGCACCTGTCTCAAACTGAGTGTCTGTAGGAAAGGTTTTAGAACAAACCTGAGGACATCAATAGTGAAGAGTCATTAGTACCATCTCCTAATGAAATTTATATATGGAAATATAAAAATCATTAATTGTAGTGTAGCCTTTTTCTCACTTGGTTTCTACAACAGAGTAACAGAAAGTGATGTGTGATGCCAATTAAATCAAACAAATAACACACTTGACAAGAATCTCAACAATTATGTAACACCAAGTTCATAGAAACCTTAAGAATTAACAGAGATCTTCAGGTGCATAATCTTTATTGGAGAGCAGCCAGCATGGTTTTATCACTGAACTATGCCTCAAGTCTACCACAGTTCTCTGAAGGAATGGGAAGCATGTAGATGACTGATCTACCCAACACAGCGTGCTGTAATTCCCCAAAAGCCTACAAGAAGTTACCAAACACACTGGAAGAAACTAAGGTGATAAGGAATAAGACAGAAGGTCCTTTACTAGATTAGTAGAAAAGATAGAAAACTACAGGTAGAAGTTATTGTTTTTCCAGACAGCCAGGGTGTGTACTGATGCTCATAGAGTTCAGCATTTCTATAAACACTTTAGAAAAGGGAAAGAAGGGTGAGAAACAAAATTTGCAAAGGTTATTGGGAAACATCAAAACTACAGCTGACTCAGAAGAGTTGCAGAAGACAGTATTTAATAACTGTGACGAAAGAGCTCTGAAATTTAAAAGTCAATAAATTCAAAGTAATGGGAACAGAAAACAGAAAAAAGCCACAGATACTGATTAGCTTTTACAATTAGATGAATGCTTTTATTACTCAATTAAGTTATTTCTATCTGAATTTGTATTTAGTAATTTTATGTTTTGGCTATATTGCACTGAGGTAAGGGACATGATTCTTTTTTTCAGTCTCAGACTTGTGCAGGCAGGCAATTCCTGCCTCATTTTATTTGGGAGCACAGGAAACAAAACAGCAAGAGGAAAGGAATGTATTAGTTCTTGGGAACAGAAGCAGCCATATTACATACCACTAATTCTATACTGTAGAAATGCAAAGAAGAAAATACTGATTGATATTAGGTTAATTAAATTTACAAGTAAAAGCCTGTTCATTTTCTAACTATGTTAAAAACATTGTGTATCCAGAATTGAAAGCAAATTCTCACATCATCATTTAACAGGCACCATGGCACCCCACACAAGAGCAAGCTGTTAAGTCAAATCCACTTCTGGGTCAGATTCTACACAGCTGGTTAATGCTCAGGAAGCATTTCTACACAAATAGAGCAAAGAAGAAAGCTGACATCACATTAAGACACATGCCAGCTACATCCTAGAGACCAGCTCCTGGCCTACCTCTCCCAAAGCCAGAAAATCATAGAATCATAGAATGTTTTGGGTTGGAAGGGACCCCTAGAGGGGCTCCCTGGGCACATTTAATTTTCCTAAGTGAATGAAGCTTTTTGTCTAACTACAGAAGCTTCCTCTGTGCCTCAGAAGGATGAGGCCATTTCTAGTAGCTGGGTTAGTCAGATAAGGAATGAGACATACCAGTCTGGATTAAAATGGAACTGTTCATCTCTGCAGTTAAGAAGACAAAAGAAGTCTGATTATAGGTACTTATAGGTACCTGAAGTTACAGTAGGAACTGTGTATCTTTCTCCTCATATAATTTAGATCTTCCTATACATTCCAAGATTTCCAAATGGAATTTTTTTTCCTTGCTTTCAAAAATTAAATTCTAATTCTTATCTAGCTCCAGTTTTGCACTAGTATCATTCACAACCAGGAAAAAAACAACCCTTAAATACTATCAAAAAAGGCAGAATCTCAACTTTCGAGCCATCAACGAGGATTTTTTTCGCGGGTTTTGAGCGCCCTCTGGTGAGAGCAATACAGTATCTCACCAGCCTCCCGGGTGGGTTGAGGAATGGACACACCACCATGTAAGGAACACCAGTGGCTCTTACATTTAGTTGCATTTTGTTCATCAGTATTTCTTAGAAATAAAAACATGCTAATTAACGTTTGAATACAAGATAAAATACTGCTAGATTTCAGTATCTCATGGTGTGGTTCAACTTACATGCTTTGAATGTTTATCTTGGTACCTTTACAGTACTTGTTAGTTCAGGCACATCAAGATGTTTAATGGATTTCAATACTCAGTTGAGTGTGGGTAGAGCTCCTGGTCTTCTTTGCTAGATGCTTTTTCTGTCAAAAGCTGACTATTAGAATTTGAACACAAGATTAAAGCACCAAAATCTTCACAGAGCAGATGCAAAAGGACAACTATAGGCTTCAAGTCCTGGCTATCAGTAAATTGACAGGCAACAACAAAATGCCCTTGAAACAAGAAAAGAAGGGTGCAGTAGCTCTTAAGCGCGAAAACACATGCTGAACAGAACTTCAGCTCAACACGATGCCCTGCAAATGAATCACTCACCAACCTACTGCATACTGCAGATTATACATAGTGCTGTCCTTGGACAGAGAAACAGAACAATGAGGACCGAAAGCCAGTGACAGGCAACTGCTCTGAGACCTACTGCTGCCTTAATATGGGAGACCTTCAAATTAGAATGAAACAGCCAAGGAACAGAATGGGTTCTGCCTAACTGCAGTCTGGGGATCAGCTACAAAGAGGTTCTTCTCAACTGAAATTTTTCAAGTCAAAAGTAAATACCCCTAACGTAAGTTTACAGAAACCATTTCCTAGCAGAACACAGGACTGAAAATTAGATACTGATGACGACAACATTTCTTTCATAAAATATTCTGGGCTTCCAATTAAATTAGCATTTCAATGAAGAAATCACAAAAACCTGATCAAGCAGCAGACAGTGGTCAGAATGCCCAATCCTTTACAGTCATCTTCTCCTAAAAATTAACATTTATAATTATAAAAGATCAAAAAATCAAAGGAAGACACTAGCCAAAGCTCTTCAAAATAGCAATTAGTTTGTGCCATACATGCACTTCCAGTAACCTACTCCACTCCTCAAACTTTCTCACTTCTTAAGCACAGGAGTCACTTCCTAGATTATCTTCTCCTACAAAAGCTATAAACTTCCTCCATTTGCATGGACAACATTAGAAAATGTTCACATTTCTAACTGTTTAAAATGATGAAACAACATGTTTATTTCTGATTTAAAACTAACTTTTCCTTTGTGCCTGACTATGTTTCCCTCTCCATCCATCTTCATATACATTTCTCTATTCTTAGGTCTTCTCCATCCCAGCTCTTGATCACTTGGCATTTGCTTTTCTCACCTGGACTTGGACTAACTAACTAATGCCCTGTTCCCTGAATGGATCTTAGGGCATGAGCTGGCTGTTATTTTTGAATCCCCTTCTCACACTCTTGCTTAACTTTAGAGACGCAAGACACCGAGCACCTAATGCCACTGTCTGGGAAATAACCTCGGCCTTAAATGACTGCAGGGCAGCGTGACAGATCAGACTCTATTCTTAGTCCATTTCAGAAAAAAAAAGAACCAACAAACACTGAACATAAACAGAGATTGGGCATTTGGAGCCACAGGAAGGGGAGAAGTTTGAATGTAGAAATAAAAATACCTATTCATTTGCTAAGCAGTATCTAAAAAAAATATTTTCTGGTTCCCACATAAATTTGTCTTTTATCTTAGCCTTTTTCGAAAGGAAGCGTACCTCCTACTGTAAAGCAAATTTAAGCCTAATGACACTATGCTTATTAGTTACCTTTTGCAGACTACCAAGAAGTAATTCACATAACACAGACCAAAAACCAAGCATGGCTGTTTTCAAATCTCTATAGGAGGCAAAAAAATAACAGAATAGCAAAACTGAAGCAGTGAAAGGATAACAGAATTGCTTGTGATCACAGAAAGTATCAGTGTCAGGGACAGACACACAACTCACTACTCCTGACTCACAGTCCCCGCTTAAAACGCTGGAAAACTAAACTCATAGCTCTTGAGGGATAAACTGAAGCATGAACAGCGCATCACCTACCCATGGTAACTACCAGTGTCTGTCTCCTTATGCTGTGGCAGCTTTCATTTAACACACGTAGTGCTCCATCCTGCAGCAGATCCAGTCAATAGAACATGCCCTAATTCAAAGAGGAACTCTGCTTCATTCTGAAACACTAGAAAGCCCCTCACATATTTTTGCCACTACTACAGCATCAATTTGTTGATCAGGCTTTCCATTCTGCTCTAATATCTTAGGGTTTAGTGAGATTATGGTATTTCTCCATTGTGCCCTACAGAAATGGGATTATAAATGGTTCTGTTGTAAGCACATTTTGTCCAATTGGAAATTATTAATCCACTAGTATTGCTACCAATCTATCTCGGCACCTCTGGACACAACAGACTGAAAATTAAAAAGACACAATGTACCAGTGGATTAAATAATGAAGTTACAGCATACAAAATGGTTAGAAGCTGTTATTTCAACTGATTTCACAATTGTTTTTACTTAACAGACTTATCTTACTAGAAAAGTTTCATATTCCTTTAAAGATTAAAGCAATGATTATGTATTTGTCAAATGCTTTCCCAACTTAGACTGCAAGATTTTTGCAGAAAGATTTCTCCCTTCTTTCTTGTTTGTATGTAACTTTTTTGTGAGATAACAACTTTGCTGTCCCTACATACTGAAGTACTGTAAATCAAAAGCATCACTGAATCATAAGAGTCATTATACAAGGAAGTAACATTATGAATTTGTCATTTCATATTTTTATGATTTTAACAGATTTACAGGGCACTAATTCCAGGATCCTCTAAATAAACCAGTACTCTGAAGCAGATCAAATTTAATCATGAAACAAGTCAAACTCTTTCTGAACCACAGTGGTAAGGCTAGAGAAGAGAGACAAGTACCTCATAATTTGAGAGGAAATCTAGTAATTTTGATCGAGACGAGATGTAGAGTAGTGGTGTCATCACCCGGCGAACAAACTTTTCAATATAAACAGCACTCATAGGGCCTTTGTATTCAATTGGTCCAAAACTAGTACCAAAAAAAATAATAAAACATTAAGACTTAAATTAACAACAGAGTGAGTTCCTCCTGGGGGTGGCAGAGATAGGAGTTACATAGACAGCATGCTCAGCCTCTAGGGAATTGCTCTCTGTGTTAATTAACAGTGGCTTCTGTAACTGATAGAGGAGTTGTGTTACCAGACTTGAAGTATAGCACAAAAATTGCAGCAACTCTAATGCAGTCTCTGTGGGTAGGTGCAGCGTGTTGGTGGGGACGAAGGGATGGACACCACCTCTGAGTCACATTAAAGAAGTTGGTAAAACGCAGGTATGAATTATATGGTCATATGCATATCTTTCTGCTTTGTCCGAAGTCAATACATGTGACTTCAAAATACAGATCTGAAAAATGCCACTATTTTCACTTGATTTTTAAAAATCTTTAGAAAGTTCAAACAATATCAATATGAAAAGGTGCAGTATTTTTACATAGACTTTCACAAGTAGTACTCAATAAAGCAGGGATGAATTCAGTCACACTGCTGACAAACAGACTCAGTGAGTCTACAGTTTCTCCCCCAGCCATCTGATAAAACAGCTCATACAACATTAGGTAGTGCTAAAACAGAATGTGGGCCGGGCCTTGTGGCTAGGACTTCCAGAGCTTCTCCTTCATCCCCCTGAAATGCCACATCTGATTTATTATGATTAGGTTGGACAAAGCACCACAGTCCAAAATGAAATCAAACACAAAAAGCATGAGGAATTAGTCCATTCCCACTAAAGAATTTACTATGATGCATTTTTCAATATAGTTTATTTTTCCGAGTGTCTGTATGTATATCAAACTTGCACTGAGATACCTACATTCAGATGTTTTGAAATGGTCTTCAAGAGCCCACTAGATTATTCTACATCCAACACCGGTTTATTACAAACCTTTGTCTTAACAGCAACACGCACTGCTTCAACATGTCACATGCCCTGTACACAACATTCGAGGTGTAATATCTCAGGCACGTGGGGTTTATTGCCCTTTGGGGTTTTTATGAAGTATTAATATTAACTTATATCTCATCTTGTTGCAACTCCATTTAAAGTTACTGATAATACCCAAGTGTATCCATTTATTGTGTTGTAATTTCAAGATCAAATAAGTTTAAGTCAACATACATCCAAGTGGGATTGTTGTTGTTTTTTTTTTTATTAGTTTGAATTATGCCAGTGCCATCTGTGTCTGTTCCAAGTTCAGCTTACAAAGAATAGGATTGCTCCTCTTCAATACATAAATCCCCCAAAGAAACTGAAATCAGCCTCTGTAATAGAAGAGAGCTGCAGTTCAAGACTATAGTACACAAATAAAATGCAAGTGATGACTACACAGCATCCAGCTCTATTGTACCTGGCATTAGAAAGTGTTTCCTTACCTTCTGCTCCACACAGATTAAAAAAAGGGTAATACATACAAATACTAGAAAATAAGAGTGAGATTTTATAAAATTTTATACAATAATATCCCAACATTTGGAGCATTAAAAAGTGAGCATAAAGTTCAAATTCAGTGTACACAGTGCCATTTAAATATGCACTAAAATTCCACTAATAGCCCTTAAGTACATACTTTATTGCTGTCACAAATTGGGACCAGTTGATATAATCCATCTACAGAGCAAGCAGACAACTGAAATTAATATATAAATCTGAATTCTTTTCACTGGAGACAGAACTTCCAGGAGATGCACAGGCAAAAGAAAATTTCTTTAAGGATGAAGCATTGCACAGCATGTCATTTAACTGACATTTACAGCCCTTCCTGACATTTAAGTAGCATACAGAGCGTGCTTCACCCAGAATCTCCTCCTCTACAACTATTTACTATAGCCATAAATATTAACATTTTCAAAATGCAACATTTTATACATTACCGCTGTTTACCAAAACAACATAAAAAAACCCAGACTGTATGTATGAAATCTTACCTCCGATGGTATAAGTGTATCACAGGAAAATAAAAGAAATGCTTCTGCTTCCTACATTTCCCCTGGTTCCACCAGCAATTTACAGCCACAAACAGCACCTGCAAAGCAGGTAAAAATTCACAGCTAACAAAGTACATTACCATGATCTTCTTATCTAACGTGGTTTTTTTCCACTCCATTCCATCTGTTATTTTCAGTGTCTTTCCAACTCAGTATTCCATATCTGCTCCTCTTAAGTCTATCACACAAGACACTTTTTTAAAATTATTATTATTATTTTTACTTTTTTTTTTTTGTCATTTTGCAACAGCAATCCTTTGGGTCACTTTTCTTTCTAGTTTTTAAGCTTCTTAATCTAAATCCTTCAAATTTACTAACTTAGCAAAGTTGAGTGGAGCTCAGCAAGCAGAGGTTTAGGACAGCGGTACCTGTGAAGTGTTCACAGGTAGCCAACTGCTAGAAAGCAGTGCTATGGCTGCAACCTTATATGATTACCAGTGTCTCCAAAGGTGCTGGAATTGGAAGCAAACTCCCTGTAATTTCTATATGAAGGCAGGTGAATAAATCTGAGAACACTTTACAAGAAACTTTTAGAGTTCCCCATTCAGGAGCAGAAATAACAGACAACCGAGCAGGAATCACATGTTTTCTCCATTTATTCTAACACTCTATGCTAAATTAAATGAAGATGACTGGCTGAGTTACCCTAAAATGTGAGCATTCAAGTCCTACTGATTCCCATGGGATGACAGAAATTAGCATCAGCTTGGAGATTAAAAAGCTATCAGGCCATGTTTAAGATTCGTATCTTCTCTGGAGTTACCTGGTCTGACAATCTGCTAGCCACATGTTCTATTTCTTCTCTCGCTGCAATGGACTGGCCACACCATGGCGCATAGAAGAAATACAGCACAATTTCTGAATCCTGACGGAGGTGATCTGCATAGTCTAATTGTCCCCGAAAAAGATCAATGACTGGAGATCTTGTGGAGAAAAAATTCACTGGAAGCTTCGCTGGCATTGTTACATCTTTTGCTCGGCTGCAGGAAGGAAATTAAGAGTAGTTATTGAGACTCTAGAGCAGTAGTTAAAAAAGTGTGCTCAAAGCCCTTATTTTTAATCTTGGCAAAGATCATGCAATTACAAAACTTCAGAATTTTATGCAAATGACTACAACTTACATTATCTGAGTTAGTTTCATGATATACCATAAAAATCTAAAGATCACCCTTAACAAGCTTTAGAAAGTCACGCTGTGACACCATGCACTGCATTTATGGGGATGTTAGCTCACACTCTTATTGCTGGTTGCTATAGAGCATAAAATTACCAGGAAGAGTGATTTCTTTGGATTTCTTCCCTGGCCTCATCCTCTTTTAACACTTGTACTTTAGGTAACAGCACCCTGATAAGAGAAGAGACACTGGTCATAAAGTTTTGTGATGTGATGCTTATATTCTTTTATGTTGTATTAGGAAAAATATGTAGATGTGTGTTAGTTTATTTTCTGATTAGAGCAGGGACTGCAAACTGTTCAGGGCACATTTTCCTCTTCAATGTAAGAGCAGTATCAACAAATGTTGGTCTGGATTTAAAGACATTATGACAGAGTAAGTTTCTTAAAAGAAATCAGTTTGAACAGTAATCCCAAGAACATAAACCAAATACTCGCGAAACCATTTTCTATCAAATCAGCATTCAAACAATCCAGATTTCTGCATTTCCAAGGTGTTCAGAAGTTGTTATGGTATAAACTGCCTTAAATGCAAGTGCATGATCACATTCTCTTTTTTATATTCTCGTAATCCCAAAATTTTCCACTAGCTATATTTACACTACAGCAAGTCAGATTAAAAACTTGACCACAGCACTGTAATGCTCAATGTTGCCATGGTTCCTTACGTGACAGGAAGTTTTAGGAAAGACTGTACATTCCTTTACCTTGTATCACAATAAAAAGCCAATACAAAAATCTTTTTACCTGATATTTGATCCTCCTCAGGTTACAATTTTAGTAATTATAAAATTATTGAGCCCCAAACACTGACAAGCTCATATGTTAAGCAACCTCCTAATGACACTGCCACATTTTCAAACTTTACAATCATTCTGGTTTGTAAGAAGTACCTTTGGTTTTGCAATACAGACCCACAAAAGCCACAGCTCTTCTCTCATTTCCAGGTTACTACACATACCCTTAAAGCTCAACATTTAAGAAACATTCCCAGTATATTTTCTAAAAGTTACAGAAATTTGTAATTTACACGTAAGTGACAATATTTGCTTCAAAATCCAATATTTTGAAACTATTAACTGGTCCCTCATGTTTATAATTCATTAATTCCACTACTCACAAAATTATGTTTTCACACAGATGGCCAAAAATCTAGTTTCTCCTGTGGACTTCTACCTTTGTTTCTTCCCGCCTCCCCCCATCAGCACCTCCTCCCCAACCCTTAGGTTCTTATGTCACCTTGCAACTAACACCTCTAGTTCCCTCCTGTTCCTGCACCCTGTGCTTATCCAAACTGCGAGCTTCTTCCTGTGATTTTGAACTGCCAGCCGGACAGGACACAACACTGATGCACTACAGCTCTAACTCAAGGGTCAGCACACACGCTGATTAGCTGATGAAAGCGAGACACGGCAGCTAAGTGTTGATCTCACGCTAACACATTTCTCATCTCTAACTAGTTTAATGGAAATGGACAACCTAAATTGTGTTTAAAACCTCTGCTTCCCCTACTGAATCGAACAGGAAGTGAACAATTGGTTCAAGAGTTACAGCATAAGCCTTAAAAATGAGATATGAAATTGGCTCCAAATTGCACAGAAGTGTAAAACAGATCAACAGAAGTCCCATGACATGAATGAGTCAGGAACTACATGGCTACCTTCAAGTATGAACCCCCCCCTCCAGTAATTATTAAAAACCAAGCCACAATAAACCAATAGCTACCAGATTCTTAAGCTGATTTGCTCAGTAGTGTCCCCCTCTGCAATAACAAACACATAACAGAGTACTTTGACATAATTCCCAGGTTTACAAAGAGAACAGTCTTCTGAATCCCTAAAAATTATGTAAGTATAAACTGAGGATTACATAATAAACGATTATACAAACATAACAATACATACAGTTTATTAAAACACTGATTGTGTTAGTTATCTGTTGCAGAGAGCCTATAAAAACTTAAAACTCATTTCAGCAGAACAACCTGGTAATAAAGGAAAGCACATGCAAGTGCGTGTGTAGGATCAGCCCCTTTGACTGTGGGGTCCTTAAGAGTGGGGTTGTCTCTAAAGACATTTGCATAGTGCCAGAAATAGTTCAGGTCCAAAACCACAGGCTTTCCATAACACATTAGGTCAGGCTTCATTTGGCTATTCCTTGAGCCACTATAAACCTGCAATACCTCAAACCCCACTAACGGATTGCCTTGTAGTAAAGGAATTTTCCCTTTCCATACTTCTTATCCATTGGTCTCAAAAGTTACGTGTTGTAAGTGGAGTGGTAGTAACTGTATTCTGGTGCTGAGATTTGCTTGCAAACCATACTGATGTGTGGTGAGAAACTATGTACTGTAGTCATAGTTAAAATGTGCAATTAACCATCCTCCAAATTGCATGTGGAATTTTTACACTTGAATTTTCTGTGTTTCTGACAGCAACAGAACAGGGAATACTTTTCTGATATGAATTTGTGATATTAGTCTGCCTATTTAACTACAACCTGAAAAGCCAAACCCCTTTAATCAAACTTCCTGTACAGAGTACAAGGTGGCGAGAAGCACATTCCAAGCACATTCCACTTCTGAGCTTTCAAACACAGCTAGCAGTAAAATGAAAGGAACACACAGGTTTGAAATACAGGAGAGCAGGAAGAAAACAGAAGCATCATTGTCAGTGTAAAAAAAAAAAAATTCATTAATGGGCAGTAAAACAGGGAGGTGATTAAGTTCAGAAATCCTTCACCATATATTCTGTAATACAGCAAGAGCTTTATACTTTCATCTAAATTATCTGGTCACTGTGAGATACAGACTACTTGAACAGAGGCGCTGCTGCTCACAGAGCAATTCATTCATAGACTTAAAATTCACTCCAATTCAAATAATACATCCCATGTGGGCAGGTGAGAAAAGGTGGCCTTAGTATTTTTCAGAAGCATTACCTGTGAAACAACTGTTTCTTGGAATAAAAAATGTGTCAGATTCTGCAGAATAGGGAAATAATCAGATCCTTATAGCCTTCTCTCACTCCCAAAATTAAGCACCAAATGCGGTAGATGTTCTTAAATTAATATAGCATGACTTGAAGCACATAACAGTCACCTTGACCTAAAACCCATCCAAAACATTCAGATCCCAGGTTAGGCTCCAGAAATTACCTGCCCGGCTGCAGCGCAGCCAACTCTCCCCACAGTTCCAGCCACAAGCATCATCTGGTTCCATGCACCCGCATACACCAGGCTCTCAGCAAGTAGGAACCAAAGAGACTTTTGAACGAAGGAAGCTCCAGCTCCCAAGAGGAGCACCATCAGATCAGGGAAAAAAAAAAAACAAACCCCACAAAGCATCTTTCTGTCTGAAGCAGGTGCAGGTAATGGGGGGTGTCAGCACTAACGTATGATCCAGAAGAGATCTGTTTCCCCCCACTTTGTACCCCCCCAAGCCAATGCAGCCGGCCGAGTGTGCTGAGGAAAGGGTTTCAGCCCTGTGTCCCCTCAGTCCTTTTGTGGCAACACGAGTTATTCTCTGGTAATGAGGAAAAACAGCTTTCTCAACAAAGCGCCTGTCCCTCAGGTGTGTGTGCATCTGAGTACCTACTACCACACCCTAACCCCCCCCCCCCCCCCCCCCATGAAGTCATATATGTCTCAAAAACACCGTCACTTCTT